CCCCAAAACCCCAAAACCCCAAAACCCCAAAACCCCAGATCTCTTTGTTTAAATAGAATATTAACTAAGTAGAGTCAATATGGCTTACTCCTTATCACCAATAATCTTTCCATGCTCTTGTGACTTAGCACTATTAACAATCAAATTCTACATTTTCAATTTCCTTCTTTTTAGAGGAAGATGTTTGTGAAAACAGTTTCCAAAATTTATAACTTTTATATTTCTTCCTCAACTTATTGATTTCCTTTACTTGATCAGGAGATAGCTTTAATGCTGTGAACAACACCTTTTCTTATTGTTTAGCCTCTTTGTCATTCTTCATTGCTTTATATTTGAGGTAGCTGATATAGACATTCTTAACATATTCGATACTAATGCCTCCTTCATTATCAATCATTTGAATGCTATTTTTATGATCTCCACTTTTTAAGTTCTTTGGAAGAACGACATTTTCTAATGTGCTGACTCTTCAAAAACCTTAATTATTCTAAAGGGTTACTAGTAAGATCTGTCTCTAGGTCTGAGGACTCATCAAAGAACTCCTGAGGGATGTCTGACCTCCTTCTCTTCTTTAGTAACTCTGAACTCTTGTTTGCTCCGTTGCTCTTACTCTTCAAAGACGAACTGTCTTCTCAAGTGTCCTTCTAAATTCTGTTCTTGAGTCTTTCAATTTCCTTTTCCTTCTTTATCCAGTATACTTTAGTCGAGGCCCTGTGCTTATCAATGCCTTCCTTATACATGTCTACCAGCCTGATGGCTTCTTCTAGTTTGACCGTGGTTTCTCAAGAGCCTTCTGCTTCTGGGAAAATTGGTTTTGTAATGATCAGTTCTTTAACCAGTTCCAGGTATTTTGGTCCAGAGTGATGTATGTGGTCACCTGCTCGCCTCAACTGGTTCTGCAGTGGGTTCTTGCATGGGAGTGCCTATACTTTGCTCAGACTGTTTGCTTTCGAAGTCTTCGCTCATTTCCGATAGAGTTTAATTGAGCCTCAGGTTTTCATCCTGAAGCTTCGAGATGAGTGACTTCAAGTGGTTCTGCTCGCTGGAGTCTTCTTGACTCATGTCAAGGATGCTCTCGAACTGCCCCATGATTTGATCAGCCTTCCTCATAGTGGTGTCTTCGTACACTTCTTTGATGTTTTCGATGTAAGCGCTCTGTTCTTGGACAGCCTTCTGCTGGCTGTTCACTCTGGCTTTCATGTGGTCATTGTCTTTTCTGAGTTCCTTGATGAGCGTTTCTTTGTGTTGATTGTCAGCTCTGCATTGATCAAGCTCTTGAGCATTGGCAGCTATTATCAGTTCGTGTTTGTTGATCTGGTCATTGACATTTTTGAATTCTTCTTTGTAAAAATCGATTTGCTTTTACATGTCAGGAATTAAGTCTAAATCAGTCATTTCTCTGAGTTTATTGTGTTCTCTAGCCTTTGCTTACTCCATGATTGGCTTCAGAGCATCTTAACTGTATGAGCCAAATTCTTCGACACTCAACAAGTTCTTGACTTCAGGATCGTTTTATGCTTTAATTAATAAGCGTTAAAGATTCTATCTGTCAGTAAGGTAAAGCTTAGTTGTCTATAATTCGGAAATGTCTGTTTACCTCAGCAAACTTGTTTTGACTTTCCTGAGTTTCTTCTTAGTGGCTTTGAGAGCTCTGGCTTTCCCTCTGTGCAGCTCAATGATAGTCTCGAGCTCACTGGGTTTTTCCATTATTATACGGCTCATTTATATGTGTTTGTAAGAGAACTAGAGCACCCAAGTGAGCCTGGGCATCAATGAATCAGTGTATTTAAATATTCAATTGCAAGTTTTTTTACAGGGGTTTTGGGGTTTTGGGGTTTTGGGGTTTTGGGGTTTTGGGG